CGGCTAGTCACTTATCATGTGAAATATTTAATTTTTTAACCTTTTCTTCACAGCTGTATCTTGTGGAAACCCTGGCACTCCAGCCAATGGTATGATAATATACAGTGATGGAATATTATTCTCCAGCTCAGTTATTTATGCCTGTTGGGAAGGTTACAAAACTTCGGGACTAACTACTCGACATTGTACTGCTAATGGGACGTGGACTGGCACTGCTCCAGACTGCACAGGTCAGAAATGTATATTTTTTCCCTCTAAAGCTTTAAAATAAAGACAGATAACCTTCCTTCTGAAATGATTATTTTGTTAGGGAAAAAAAGGCATATTTTTTCCTATTTCTCTGACTTGTGATACACAAATATTTCATGTGCTTAAACGTATGTGTTTTTAATATATGCCAGAATTTGCCAGAAATATCTTTTTAAGATGGATACATAGGTAACTTTTCTGTAGATGTTTATCTTGTGAATGCCTTATGGATTAAAATATGACATTATTGCTTAGAATAGGCATTCCTCTAAAATTTTCTTTAGTTTCTTTGTAGGTTATGTACACAGGTAGGTTTGAATCAGATTTTATCTAGTTGGATGCATTGTTGTGCCTTTTTATATTTGACACAACTGAGTCAGATCTGACTCACAGTCATTCTGTTCAGGACCAAGAGTCAGGGAGCAATGAGTTTGAGCTGCTCCACCAGAGTGGAGAGGAGCAGCCAGGCCAGCAGGTGATGAGGCCAGGCTTACATTACTGAGCAAAGAGAACACAAGAGGTTCAGTGACAGTAACATGGGACCACCACAGCCCAGTGATCCCCAGGAAAGTCTGCAGCGACAAGGCAAATTCCAGAACAAGCTGATAAGTCTAGTCAGCAAGGTACATGGCCAGGCATAGACATACCTGCTTTGTAGCTCAGTGAAAGACCAAAGGTGAGACTTTGAGCTTAAATACAGCTCCCAAACAAAGGGAGAGGCCACAAAGCTGTTTTTTTCCAATGCAGTCTGATGCTGGGTTTGCACTGAATCAGAGCTGGCATTGAGCACAGGCTCACTGGGAAGGGGGGAAAGAGCAGCAAAGTCAGTTGGTGTATGCATAACCCTGAGAGGGAGTGACTCAAAATCATGGAATCTGTTAGAAAACCTACCTTTATCTCCTTCCTTGATAAATGTAATGACAGATAAATAACAATTAGTTTTATCATGTTGTGGTACCAATTAAAAAAAAAAAAAAAAATAAAAAAATCTCAGGAATTTCATAACTGCTGGAATTACATTAAGTGATCTATATAAGATATATTGTTACAAATGTCCCTATCAAAACTATCGCTAACGTAAGTCTTCTATGTCAGTAGAACATGCCAGTTTAAGCTAGTTTATTCCACTATGACTTTTAAGGTCCCTTCCAACCAAAACTTCTATGATTCTATAGATCCCAGAATCATTGATTCAAAGAATATTTGAACTCAAAATTTGGCTCAGATTATTGCAATCCTTCAAAAATTGATTTTTAGCTGGGGGAAAAAAAAAAAAAAAAAAAAGAAAAAAAAACACTAAGTTTTTGATTTTGTGTGAAATGTATTCAAAATATTTTTGCTTTCCACATGAAATAAATAAATAACATTAGCTATATATAGCTTAATGTTTCATTATGTTTATTGAAAAAAAAAAAACCTTTTTTTTCTTTTTCTCACTAGTGATCAGCTGTGGAGATCCAGGTGCAGTAGCAAATGGCATTCAGTTTGGAAATGATTTCACCTTTAATAAGACAGTCAGCTATCAGTGCAATCCAGGATATGTGATGGAACCTGCCAATTCGTCTACTATGCGTTGTATAAAAGACAGCACTTGGAACCAGAGTAAACCAATTTGCAAAGGTGAGCATTTCCAAAATAGATAAAAAATACAATTTTCATACTGCGTATTAATATCTAAAAGAAATATAAATGATAATAAACATGCAAATGCAACTAAAACGTGTGGATAAATATTAGTGTAAAATTTATATTGTATAAATGTCATGGCATAAAATAAATTATAATACTAATATTAATGACTGCAGTAGGACAAAATCAGTCTGCAGTGAAGATTACCAAAATGCTTAGCTAAAAATTCTCAGGAATTAAGTATCCATTTACTTTTTTGGCTCTTTTGTCTTGAATTAAATGGCCGATATTCCACAAGGGGATCTTCCAACAAAGCTTGTCATTAAAGAATCCTGTGTTGCAGTATTGTAGTTATCATAAATAATCATTAGAATAAATAGCTGATTACAAGCGCTAACATAATGGTCATAACAGATATGGAGCTGAAAGGCAAATAAGGCAGTGTGATGGAAATTCTAAGCACTATTGCCAAAGATCAGCGAGTAAATTCAACAGCTCAGGGCATTTGCTGCCTACAGAATGCTACCATATCTAGTACCACTTTAAAGTGTTGTCTAAGTCTAGCTTTATACTTAAATTTTGGCATATGCAGTTGACAGACCATATTTTCTGTTGTAGAAATCACTGAGGAAGTGAATTTAAAGATGTGCTCTTTGTTGAAAGAACTGATGAAAAACTGCAAGCTTGATCGCTCCAGATTTCATCATTTTGTATACTTTTTCAGAAGCTGGAATACATCAGAATAGTTCTAAAGATTCTTAGGCATATAATTATGAATGAAGCCAGTGTCCATTGTCTGCTGAAAAGAAAGCAAGAAAAGGCCATATAAAGAGCTTTAAAATAAAGCATAAATATTTTTGTTAAATGTGTATGAACAGTAATTTTACCTACCTCAGTAGCCTGTTACTAACAGTGATCACAAATTAATTTGTAGAGAAGAGGCTCAGAACTAGGTGAGGTATATAATCTTCTAGTTTCCAGCAAGCTAGAGTTCGGGGACTTCCTAGGCCTAGAGGTGGTATTTTTGTATTTAAATTGCTTTTCAATTTATTACAGTTTGCTATGTCAACACTTTTTTTTTTCTTCTTTTTTTACCTGAACAGCATATATTTATTTACTTATTAGTTATAAAAGTATAACCAGATATTATGTTACACTCTTCTAAGCCTTATAAAATCTTGACATTCCAACTTCTCTTTTTATGATCTAGCTATCACCTGTGGCCCCCCTCCACCAGTACTCTATGGAAAAGTGGAAGGATCTGATTATCGCTGGGGTGCTAGTGTGAGTTACAGCTGTGCAGAAGGATATCAGCTATCTAACACAGCTATTCTTTCCTGTGAGGGTAGAGGAATATGGCGGGGAGACATCCCACAATGTTTACGTAAGTTTTCAGTGTCTATTGTGTTGGGGTCTCAGACTTAGTTTTTTTCCTCACAGTTTAAAAAGCACTTGGCTAGATCACATGCTCTGTTTGCCATTTGTTTTCCAGTTTCTTCTTAAGCTGTTTGAAAATTGTCAAGACCCTGACAAACGTTTTTCCCTTTACTTAGTTCAAAAATTTCAAGCCAGCTCACTTGAGAGTGAATGATGTGAAAACTGCATACATTTAGCATTGTCTACTTTGAGATTACTTGGTGAACCAAATCTAATAAACATCTCAGTGTCTCAATTAAAAGGTCTGTTTTTACAGGTTAATTTTGGTGCTTCTATTAAATATAATAGTGAAAATTATTTTAAATTGCTGTCAATAATTTATTTCAGCTATACTACTACATAGATAAATGAACTAACATAGCATTTCCTCTCATATTCAGTATTCCTGACTTGAACTTTTCTTTTTTCATATATTAGCGGTGTTTTGTGGTGACCCTGGTACTCCAGCAGAAGGACGCTTGAATGGAAAAAGCTTCACCTACAGATCTGAAGTTAGCTTTCAGTGTAGACCTCCTTTTATTCTGATAGGCTCTTCAAGAAGATTTTGCCAAGCAGATGGTACTTGGAGTGGAATACAACCAACATGCATTGGTATTAATTACCATTACTTGTGCTGTTTCTGCTGAGAATATTATTGATAAACTATTACACTATCATGAGTCTAGCAATTACCTTTCCAAATGTAGAAACTATTACACTATCATGAGTCCAGCAATTAGCTTTCAAAATGTAGAAAACTTCTATGTAATATTAAAAAAAAAAAAAAAAAAAAAAAAAAAAAAAAAGTTTATATTTTAAGTTTAAAAACATAGGATAAACACAATTGCATATGAAGTCATTTATAAATGCACATGGTTGCTTGTCTACTGGAAATGCAGAGTGTCAGTAAATTAGTTCCATCTATTTAGAGTCTTTTAGATACACAGAAGATTTTGACAGATTAAAGACTGTATTCTGTCAGCGGAGAGATAGAGGCATTGTTAGAATCAATCCTAAATCAGAAAGATTTTTGGATCTTATGACTGTGGCTGGTACAGTTCAAAAGAATGAAGTGTGCAGGATCTGATCATTTGAAATTCTGGTATGCTGCCAAGTGTTGTCGATTTCTCATTGACTGATGTACACGTGATAGGCTTTTAGCATGACACATAATCCGATTAACTGTGAGAAATGCTGGACACCTGTAACTCCCACTGAAATCAGCATTTGACCCAGTGACTTGATTAAAAAAAAAAAAAAAAGATTTTGCTGTGATCATAGAAAAAGACTCTCATATTTCTAAATAAAATCATTCCATTGTGGCCTGTAGCACAGTTATGTTTTTCTGTGTCTCAGATATCGGCTCTGTGGAAGAGCTGAACTGAGCACTCAGGGAGAAGGTGAAACACATTATTATTAAAAGCATCCTATATCTGTAAATTAGGAAATAAATATTCAATACAGTTCGAAACAACTTCTGTCCATGGATTTTATAAACTGAGCAATCGGTTATATCCATGTTTGGTTTTTGTTTTTAACAGATGCAAGAAGGTTTACAAAAACAAAATATAAGGTGAATCAAATTTCAAAATAGTATCATGTCAATTCTGTTTGTACTTTATACAGCACAATATAGAGGTATATGAAAATTCAGTTCCATATTTCTATTATTAGCAGTGGTATTCCAGCTCATGATAATGTATAAACAGTCCTTGAACTTCTCAATATATTGACTTTTATTTTCATGTTAGGTCAACATCCACCTAACTTTTGAAGATTTTAGTAATATCAGTCCAGCTGAACTGTAATGCTCTTATGATAATCAATGCTAAAAGGGAAGTTGACTGAGAGTGAAATAGCGTATGTTGTATGTGTCAGTTTTTCTTCTACAGAAAATTACGAATTGTTACAGATGAAATATAGACACAAATTATGATCTTCAAATTGCAATCTGCACAGAAGCAGACTTGACTGCCAAGAAGGAATCACATGGTACAGAGACATCCATCAGATCTGGTGCTTTGGCACTCCCAGAGAAAACACACTATCAGAATGTGAAGTGGGCATGAGAGAATCAAAATTAATTTTACATTGTGTTGATTTATACTTACGAAAATGATCATTTATTTTTATGATCATTTAATTAGCCAAATTCTATTGGCGTATCTTTTTTTGTGTGTGGGAAAAGTGCTTTATTTTTATTCTCCAGCAACAGCTGAGATAATAATCCGTTTGAAACATTTGTTTTCATGATGACATAGAGCAAACTCTATAAGACGTAAGTATTTTACTTGCTATAAGAAAGCAGATTTTGTTGTTGTTGTTAGAAATCTAACTTAACCATTGATCTCTTCATTGGATTCATCGTTGGATTTCATTGTATATTGAAATACATGCGTGTGTTAAAAATGTAATTATTTTTGTTATTACTGTATATTGATGAATTCATCTTAACAAATAGTTTTAGCCTATTCTTCCTGTGCAGTAGTAATATCTGTAAATGTTTCATATTTTACAATAGATCCAGCTCACAATACATGTACAGACCCTGGCACTCCGCATTTTGGAATACAAAACAGCTCCAGAGGTTATGAGGTAATTCTTTTATTTATTCCTAAAATGAAAATGCATTTAATAATCACAAATACATTGACTTATGCATAGGCTTAATTGTTTAGTGTAAACTTTCGTAAATTTCAACACCTTTTTTTTTTAACATATAGTTTGAAGAAAGAAATTGTAACCTTGCAATACATTGTGTATTCTCTAGGAGACTTCAATAAGGAGGACTATTTATAAATTGATTACATAATTTGATATGACATGATATAATTACTTTGCTTTCTGATCAGAATTTTGTCTTACACTGATGAATAGTCAGTAAATACCTAACAATTGAAGATCTGTCTGATCCATGAAGTCCTTGACAAAAAAAAGTCAGTGTCTTTACTAAATTATCAGTTCATGTTAGATTTTATTAAAAGTCAGAGAATATATATAATTCTGTGTGGTGGATGCAGTACTCTACTCCATTCTATGATTTCTAGACTGCTCAAACAAAATTTGTTTTCCAAGTGACATCATAAAAGTGACTGAGGAAATAAAATGGGTGCAAACATAACAAATGCACAATCGTTATTTACAAGGGTTGCACCAAAAGTAATGCCTCCTATTTTACTGTGTTGACCACAATATCAGAAGCAGATGGTGGTGGTATGGTATGGCAGTAGAGATTGAATCTTCCCAGCAGTATTCCATTACCTTTTGTTGCCTTGTGACAGATGGCAGCAGAGGGGCAGTCTGACAAAATGATGTCTGAAGTGTCTATGAATCATAAAATCATAGAATCCTTAGAGTTGGAAGGGATCTTTAAAGATCATCTAGTCCAACTCCCCTGCAATGAACATCAAAGCTAGATCATGTAACCCAAGGCCTGATCCAGCCTCACCGAGGAAGTCTCCAGGGACAGGACATCCATTGCATCTCTGGGCAACCTGTTCCAGTTCCTCACCACCCTCACTCTAGAAGACTTTTTCCTTATATCTAACCTAAATCTACTCTCTTTAAGCTTAAAACCATTTCTCCTTGTTCTATCACCACAGATCCTGCTAAAGAGTCTGTGCCTTTCTTCCCTGTAGCTCCCCTTTGGATATTGAAAGGCCACTATCAGGTCACCTTGCAGCCTTCTCTTCTCCAGGCTGAACAGCCCCAGCTCTCTCAGCCTCTTCTAATAGGAGAGGTGTTTCAATCCCTGGATCATTTTTGTGGCCATTCTCTGGACACGCTTCAACAGATCTCTGTCTTTTCTGTTCTGAAGACTCCACATCTGGATGCAGGACTCCAGGATGAGACTTCACCAGCACAGAGTAGAGGGGCAAGATCACCTCCCGTGAACTGCTGGTTATGCTTCTTTTCATGTAGTCCAGGATACAGGTGGCTTTCTAAGCTGTGAGGGCCACATTGCCGGCTCTAGTCCAGTTTTCTACTCACCCTAGTTTTGTTGGTGGTGGTGTTGTTGTTTTTGTTTTTGTTTTTGTTTTTTTGTAGAACTGCACTCAATCCTTTTATCCCCCAGCTTGTACTGGTAGTGGATGTTGCCTTGACTCAGGTACAGGACCTTGCATTTGCATTTGTTGAATCTCCTGTGATTCAGCTGGACCCACTGCTCAAGCCTGTCTGTGTCCCTCTGAATAGTATTCCGTCCCTCTGGTGCGTTCGCAGCACCTCACAGCTTGATGTCATCAGCAAACTTGCTGAGGGTGCACTCAATCCCACTGTCAGTGTCACTGATGAAGATAATACAGAGTATTGTCCCCAGCACTGAGCACTGTGGTACAACACTCATTACTTGTCTCCATCCAGTCATGGTGCTGTTGACCAGCACTCTCTGGACTCGATCCTGTAGCCAGTTCCTCATCCAACAAACAGTCCAACCAGCAAATCCATATTTTCCAATTTGGAGAGAAAGATGTTGTGATGTATCGTGTCAAAGGCCTCACTGAAGTCCAGATAAATGACATCAGTGGCTCTTCCTTTGTGCATTGATGAAGTGACACTATCATAAAAGGTCACTAGGTTAGTCAAGGAGGATTTGCCTTTGGTGAAGCCATGCTGGTTCCGCTATATGAACTTTTTGCCTTCTATGTGCCTTCACATAGCTTCCTGTTGAAGCAGTGAAGCAATGGAGAGGAATTTAATTCTTCCATACAGAAAAAAATGGCACAGACTGACTCACTGATAATTGCTGAATATTTATGGAGACCAAACACTGGAAGTTAGCACAGTTGGTTGGTGAGGGGTGCATTTCAGCAGAGGCAACAGTGACATGAAAGACAAGCCATGTCCCAGATGGCCATGCACAGCTGTCATACTACAAAGTTGAAAGCAAGATCTTGATTTTCTCATTCATTAAAATCAGAGTTTGCAACCAGGAAACTGTGTATGCAGCTGGATGGACTGTGGATGCAGCTTCATGGCTTTGGAAATGGTGATGAGAACAATAGTATATTGAAGTTTGCACCGCATGGTCCCATGAATGCTCACACAGAAACAGAAAGAATGCTGTATGCAAATTTGTCAGGACCTATTGAACAAACACGAGTCTGAAAATGATTTTGCTGGATCTCATAATTACTGGTGCTAAGATGTGATGACACCACTACAAGCCAGAGTCAAAATGGCAGTCTGTGCAATGGAGAACTGCGAATTCCCCATTGAATAAAAATTTTAAGTTGCAGCACTCCATGAGTAAAATGATGCACACCATCTTTTGGGATAGGGAAGGATGGTCCTCATGGTCTTCCTGGAACCTGGAAAAACTTTCAATTCTGACCACAATATAATAAAGCTGATTAATCTGAAGAGTTGAACTTCCAGAGTCAGGCAAAATAAGACAAACTTTCTCTTGCAGCATGATTACACCAGGTCTTAAACTATTTTTTTTAGCAATGACAATGTCATAGCAGCTCTGAAATAGTGAGTCACCTCCACTGGTGCAGATTTTTACGAGCATGGCATGCAAGCACTTGTTCATTGCTGGTGAAAAGGCATAGCTAATAGCTAATTGAAAAATATTGTTTTGTAGCCGAGAATTTGCTTTATCAAATAATGTTATTGTGCTCTTTCTGTCTGCTATATTTTCCATGGTAAGCATTACTTTCAGAGCAAACTACATACATTTATCAACTTTATGTCAATAGATTCTTGAGGTATAAATATTTGTGACTTGAATCTGAAATATATATTCTTATTTCTGAACCTAGAGCAGTGTGCCACATGGTGTTATGATCAGATCAGTACTGTCACTTAAATAATCCTTCCAGTGTTTATTGTTATCCTTCGTCTCCTGCAACTGTGCTATCTTTCACTGTTGTGGCTTTCAGCTTCTCAGCTCTTGACTGAAGGAGCCCAGGCACTTCTTCCCTAGCCATATCTTGCCCTCACTCCCAACATGATTCTTCTAGTAATAGGTGCAGTTGTCTCATCTTGCCCTTGTGCCTGTCCCAAGCATGGCTTCAAAAACAACTGTAATCATTGCACCTCGTATGATCCTTTTATTTTATTTTATTTTATTTTATTTTATTTTATTTTATTTTATTTTATTTTATTTTATTTTCCTCTCCCGCTTTTACCTGCTTTACAGGTTGTCTTACATTTATATCAGAATGATACTGGACAATTCATGTTCTAATTTCAGTTGAATACTTTTGCTCTTTTCTGGAGGCAATGGCAGATTTTAATTTCTTCTGGACTGTCTTTCTCAAGTATGTTCCTTCCCTCAAACTCAGATAGTAATTCTATGTTAAAGGTGTATATAAAAGTACTATGATGAGATCATTGGCACAAAAAGATGTAGACTTCTCTTAAAACTAGTCAAATAGTTTTTTTTAATTACTATTATTTTTTGCATTTGTAAGTATGACAGTTTATGACATGGCATGACGTGCCTGATGACAGGCAGCCTATCTTTACTGGTTTTTTTGTTTGTTTGTTTGTTTTTTCCCAATCTACTATTGCTTCTGTATGCCCTGTTTCATTTTGTACCATTTTTGCTTCACTACCCTGTGGCTTTTGCAATGTGTGTTTTTGTTGTTGTTTTTTTTTTCCATCAAAGTACTATAAAAGTAGTAGACTGCTTTTGTTTTTTACTGTAAAAGTAAAAAAAAAAAAAAAAAAAAAAAAAAAAGAACTCTGTAACTACCGTGCACCTAGACCTTAAAGTTTTCCTTCATCTTTTGTATCAGTGAGAAAATATTTGCAACTCATCATTACTTATTGTATCATAACTGGCAATTTCACAAGAGTCAGAATGACAGTCAAGACTAGCTACACTCACTTCTGGTTTCTGCAAGACATGTTGTGTGTCCTTGGCAAGACACCGAGATAAATCTGTTTAAAAATAGTTACAAATAGATAAGCCTGCAAAGCGGTATCAATTTGACCTTTAAAAATATGAGTTGATTTCCCAGGCCACTTCAGGAAGATCCAGCACTGCATTTGCTGAACATCTATCATGATAATCTATTGTAGGTAACTGATTGTGTAGTTAACTTATGTAGCCACTTTTTTGGAAGATACTGCCAATTTTTAATATCCATTGAAGTCCTTCAGTGACTTTCACATTGTAGAGCTATCGGCAATTTATATACCTACAAACTGTTTTATCAGTAGGTGTTGGTTAGTGCTCATTTGCAACTTGCTTTCACTTTTCCATGTGATGTTACTTTATTAATAAATTGTAAAATTACAGACAGTACTTTTTTTTTTTTTTTTTTTTTTTCATTTCACCTGATCTGTACTGCCAAGGTGCAAAACCAAAATAATGGCTTACTAGTATGACCCACATCCTCAAATATCTTGGCCTACAGTTATATTCTGACTACTTTTGCCAATACCATCAATAAATCTGTTTTATTAGAACTTTCGCACAATTTCTTTCTTACATTATAGAAGGTCTTTCTTCATCTTTTTTTTTTTTTTATCCATATTTCACACTTCTGTCAGTACAAGTCTACAGAAAGCTTTCTTAGTTGTTTTACACATTCTTATGGAAAGATTGTATCTCAGTTTACTATAAAAAGTCTTTCCATAACATTACTGGTTGAACATCACAGGTAAAACAGGTATATTATAGTAAGGAATACAGTATAAGGAATTGTGGCCTGGAGTTTTCTAGAATTTAATTATGAATGAAATTTCTTACAGTTTTTTTTTTCTATTTACCCTTTAAATACTTTTGATGAAGTAACACAATGAGAAACCTTTGAAGTAGACTTTATGGTCAAGTTCTGTTGGAATATGTGCAGTGATGTACAACAAACAGGTATTTGTCATTTAGTTTGTCACATTGTCACAAACTTGTAAGAGGAAATGTCATTCTTCTCCATGTGCACAGCCTTGTTAATATTCTTTCACTTACTGCAATAAGATTATTGTTCATACTTTTCATATTACTAAAAAAAAAAAAAAAAAAAAAAAAAAAGCTTAAAAACAGTAACCAGAGGACATGGTTCTGAAAAAGAAGTATTTCTCTATTAGCTTACCACTGTCTTGATATCTAATTACACAATAGCTACTTCTTTCATCTAATATTCTGTTTTGATCCTTAGGTTGGAAGTACAGTCTTTTTCAGATGTAGAAAAGGTTATCATATTCAGGGATCTACAACCCGTTCTTGTCTTGCTAACTTAACTTGGAGTGGCATACAGTCTGAATGTATTCGTAAGTGCAGTTTCTTATCTAAAGAGTTTGTACACTGTGCAATTTTGAAAGAGTTACAGATTAATGCACATGGAAATCATATCAAATAGTATGCTACAGAAAAGTCAGTTTTATTTAACAGTCATCCATATGCTTTTTTTGTTTTCCTTTTGCTTTTGCTTTCTGTTCTAAGAACAAATATGTATTTAGGATATTACTTTTAAGTAAGATTTTTCAGATGTTGTTTTCTTCTTGATTACACAGTGCACAATAATTTACTCATTAAAAAAATGTTTTTCCTCATTAACCTACTGCATTAGTTGTTTTAGGTTAATCTTTTATTTTTGTGTGTGTCTGTACTGGATTAACAGAGAACAGAAAGTGGCCTGAAATTTATTTATTTGTTTGTTTGTTTGTTTGTTTGTTTATTATTTTTGCTGGATTTACTGAACCATAAACTAGAAATTTAACAAAATTCAACTTTTCTCGGATACGCATGTAAACAGTGTATTTATAGATCTACATGTAATAAGTATTATCATTATAATAATGTGGATATCTAATAAGTGTTGTACTGAAATATACTGATTAAGGCTAAAAAATATTAATTAGAATGACCTTACATTCTTATCCCATTTAAAATTACCTTTGGATATTTATAAATCAATACCATGTACAACAGACAAAGAATCAGAAAGCCTTCATATGGAAACCTTAGTTCATTTTAAATTTATAATACATTTATTTATCACAATAACCACTCTGAATTAAGGTTCTTTAAAATGGAAGTGATACTTTAAGCTGTGACAGTACAATATTCAAAGGACATGCAGTTACTTGTGCTTCCCCTCACTTTAATTATTTCCAGTCTTGCTATCATGATTTGGCATTTTGCTCAAAAATATCTTTTTCATCTTCCCACAAGCCATATACTCAGACTATTACTGTTACAAGCTATTGATGTTTCTAAAAGGTATACAAAGTTTACCTAATGACGAAATATGTTGGCATGCATTTGTTTGTTAAATCAGCTAATCCTGTGGATACTGTTTGCTATCATTTTCTAACTCTTACAAACCCTTTGCAGCTCATGCATGCAGGCAGCCAGAGACACCGGCACATGTAGATGTGAAAGCAATAGATCTTCCTACTTTAGGGTATACTTTGGTGTATACCTGTCAGCCAGGATTTTTTCTTGCTGGTGGATCAGAGCATCGGACATGTAAGCCAGATATGAAATGGACAGGAAAATCACCTATTTGTAAAAGTAAGTCATTATTGAGTGATATGTTGTGCCCTACTTGGATGGATTTCATTTTCCCCAACATTTGGCTTTAATATACTTGGACTGAATTTTCCCGATTACTGTTTAAAAATGCAAATGACACAATAGTTTTTTATTTTGTGAAATAAACCATTTTAAATGTTAAAGTAAGGACAGCATCTACAATTCATCAAAGAGAACATGGAAGTATGTGTATGTATGTATATATGTATGCACACATACATGATTTTACTCCTTACCAGCAAACAAGAACAACAGCAAAAACCAACATAATACAAAGTATTACTCTTAATTATATTTCTCCTAATGTTTATGGCATAGTATCAAAAGAGTATTTCAATGTCTTCTGTGTTTAATACATGATTTTCTAGAAGTAGGAAAAAATATTTCACTGCAGTTGTCTTTTAGATTCACTCAGGAATGCTTTTTGACTAAGAAAAACATCCATAATTTAAAAAAAAAAAAAAAAAAAAAAAAAAAAAAAAAAACCTAATAAATAGATAAATTAAACCTTTGTTTTAACCTGATTCCACTTTTATTTATGTCCGTGTAAATTTCCTATCATTTTCTTGTAATATGTCTGAGCCTCTACATGTGAATAAACATGGATAAATACCTAATCCAGCAAACCTAAAAAGTTAATTTTTGTAACAGAAGCAAAAGAAAGGCAATCAGATGCCATGGGAAAGATGGTTGCAACACTATATGTAGGTCTAATGTGTCAAAGGACTCTAAACAGATTTGAGGTTAGAATTGTTGTTCATTTTATAGTTCTTTGCTTCAACTAGAGAAGTATAATCTGTGCATAAAAATTAATCTTACTCTAGATGTGTAAAGGAAGATTTTTCATGGGTAATACGTAATTAATACATTGAGGTAAAAGTTCTTACATGCTTTCAGTTCATTTTCTTTTTTATTGTCATGCAGTCTTTAGATATGGTTCTCTTTGTTCACACTTTTTGTTCTGTTTTATCACTTAGACAATCTAATCTCTGTATTTCTGCTCCTAAAGTGAAAGAAAAAGAACTAAAAATTATGTAAGACAAAATCTACTACCAGACAGTGATTTTCAAGTGTCTAATAATATGAAGCCACAGCTTTAGCTGAAATCAATAGACATAACTGCTGAGAACATCAGTAGTATAGCAAATGATACCTCTTGTGATTCTTTCCCATGATATCTGATCGTGTCTTCTTAATCCAAATGTCTTTTGCTAATCTGTAGCAAACATTATTAATGCAGTTTGTTATATTTAGCATAATATTATGCACAATTAGATATAGTATTTGTCCCCTAAATAAGGCTCTCTTTTATAGCAGAGACTGATATAAAATTATAGACCTAAGTTTATAAAATGATTACATAACCAGATAACTTTCCACAGTAAAAATGTTGCTTTTCTAAATTATTTTCTGATGGCTTTTGTTTAAGTGTTTAGGCTTGAACATGTTAAGTATTCAAGACGTCAATTACTTCTGTTTTAAATATAACTTTATTGCATAAGGGATAATTGCATCAATCAGGCATTGTTTTAACATTCTATTAAAAAAGTAACAAATATGTTCATGAAAATGATAATTTGTCTTTTTACTTGTAGGTAAAGGAGTGAGAGAAGTTAATGAAACAATAACTAAAACTCCAGGTTTGTATACAAGAAGAGTTTTAGATATAAACAAATAAATTGATTCACACCCTAGTTTGCTATGGATGATAAAACAACTTCCAATATTTAAAATAGGTATTTTATATCTCGTTTCAAAAAAAATATAAATGTTGAAGTCATTCATAATAACAAGTATCACATTAAACCTACTCTATCAAATTCTTTCCCAAACAACAATTTTATAATTTAAACAATACCAATTCTGTGAACCACATATACAAAAATAAATAAATAAATAAATAAATAAATAAAAATAAAGGCAGAAAGATAAATCATATAAACGTAGATTTGAATGAGTATATATAAATATAAAATATATAAAGTAGATTTGAATGAGTTTTATATCAGAGAGATTGCTATAACTGAGAGCCTTATAATGAGGATAGACTATAAGTTTAGGGGCTGGGTTCAAAGTTCAGTCTTATACATTGTAAGAAACCAGGAAAAAAAATAAATAAATCAGTTTTAGAAATTTTCTTGGCCTTTATTTCAGAGAAACTCTAATTTTTATTTATTTATTTATTTATTTATTTTTACTCTATGCCAGGGTTTTCTGAACTGTGTGGACTGTAGGAACATTTGCACAGTCACTTTTGCCCTCCTGCCAATGACAAAATAGTAATACGTAGGGTAGCACCTTTATGTAGATCATTCAATCATTTTCAGAAAATGAGAGACTTATTCTTTTTACTGTTTTATTTAATTCTGAACAGATTTTTTTTTTTTTTTTTCACCAAATAAAAGAGTTTGCAACTCTAAATCCTGAATTTTAGTAAACTACAGGGAAAACAAGATGAATGCTTAACAGTCGCAGCAATTCACTGAAGGACTCTGTAAAACATATGAGATTAAAAGGTACTTCTGCTAATAATTAACCTTCCCCAAGGATATTTATATTAAGAGTGTCAGGTGAAACCTAAAATTTGTTCTTTCCAAACACATCACTTCTACAGATTTGCAGTAATTCAAGCCATAGTGTGTATTCATTATAATTAAAAAATAATCTTCATTTATTGGAGAATTCACCTCACTCAACAGCTAAGCTATCCATCAGTCTGCTACCACACAGGTTTTGAAGTTCAATGCCAAACTAAAATACAGACCAAATCAAATACATTCACTTTGCAGAGCATCAGTATCTCACCACGTCATGTTGTTTATGACCTGTTTTAGTACATAAGTGATATTTGGAAGGTATTTTTTAAAAAAATATTGACTATTTTTCTATGTTCCTATTGAACATGCCAACATTTTCCCATTTCTCACTTTCAGAGAGGAATTGATAGTTGATTTGGTGTTTGTATAACAAAAGCCATTTCATTTTTCTCATGCTGTTCTTGTGTGGTGTGTGGGGGAGGCATGGACATTGCAAAAGCTGAGCAGAATGGGATCAAAGCCACTCTAATTCTACAGCTGTCTCCACGAGGTACAGATTAACAGCTGTTACTGGCACTTAAAGGGGTCAGAGATCCCAGATATTGAAGATGTTAAATTGACAATAAAGCATGGTGTCAGCTCCTTTGTAACAAAGTCTTACATATTAGCTATAAAAACTATTAACAGTTTCATGTCAGTCATACTTGACGTTCACCTCCACAGAATTAAATTGACACATATTTTTAATTGACGAATTTATTTTTATTGATGAATAAAAGACAAACATACTTTTAAAATGTTGGGTTTCAGATTCACTGTAAGTCACTGTTGTAGCTAAACAATGGCAGATATTTAGGAAAATAAGTCTGAAAGTCCTTTGCAGGAAACATATGATTTTTCAGGACTGAGATCCATGAAAAAAATTCATCATTAATGTGTGGAGAAAATATATGGAGTCTAAAAAAGAACGATACAAACTTGCAGTAATGTGTATCTGGAATTGAATGAAAAAAGTTGAGTACTACACACAGTGTTGCATTATTCATGAAACAAGCAGGGTGGCCTAAGTGTATCTCCTTCCTTGAGAATAACCTATTTTTTTTTCATGATATACTAAAGGTAGGGATTTTAGGGGAAGAGTTTATTATTTTTCATGGTCTTGGGGACATGTGCTCAAGCCATGAAATTTTATGTTATTGAAGAACATATATTGTAGTGGAAGAGTATAATATAGTACAGGCAATTGTGTGGGAAGGTCATTAAAGTCTCTGTCTTTAAGATTGTAAACTTGTTACTGTAATACCTCCTTAGAATAGCAGATTGATTCTGTAACAGAGAAACTGAAGAACATAATTATGGCTAGAAAGTTTGTTGCTTTGTTGTAATTTACTGCTCTGTTTGTTTGATTGTTTCTCTCTCTCTCTCTCTCTCTTTTTTTTTTTTTCCCCCTTGGCCCACTTAGTTCCTTCAGATGTGTTTTTTGTAAATTCACTGTGGAAAGGATTTTATGAATATCTAGGAAAAAGACAGCCTGCTACTCTTACTGTTGATTGGTTCAACACTACAAGCAGCAAAGTGAATGCCACATTCACTGAAGCATCCAGTTTACAACTCAAACTATCAGGTAGGTTTAGCATTCAATATTATAAAAAGAAAAAAGCAGTCCTTTTTTTTTTTTTTTTTTTTTTTTTTTTTTTTTTTTTTTTTTTTTTTTTTTTTTTTTTTTTTTTTTTTTTTTTTTTTTTTTTTTCTTCTATTTTAAATTATATTTTTTTTTTTTTTTTTTTTTTTTTTTCCTTTTTTTTTTTTTTTTTTTTTTTTTTTTCCTGTCCAGTTTTGTTTTATCTTCTCCTATACACAGATGAAGCAAAATCTTTAGGTTTTCTCTACAAACTTTTTACTGCTTATTTTGCAAAAGGAGAGGTGATAAATATAGCAGTCACTTTAGCAGAGATTTCAGTCAATTTTTATGTGGTTACTCAACAATTTTTCCCATTACATTTCAAATAAGTAATGAGATGTTGTTTGTTGTTGTTGTTGTTTTAATTTTGGACTTCTGGGTAGTATTGATCATCAAACTCATGGGTAATATTGAAGTGGCAGGCAAAGTGAATTTTAAGAATTTTAAGAATTTGTTTTAAGATTTGTAATACTGCAAGGCTCCATTATACAGTGATTAATGTCTGCTTTTAAACAGCTTAGTCTTCAAACTAGTATGATGTACAGTAGGTGGAGATAAATTATATAGCTTTATAAATTATGCATATCTTTTAATCAACATCCTGTATTACTTTCAGCAAATCTGATTTGTATTCTGATCTAGCCTCTGATCACAATTATATTTGTAATGATCACTGTCAGCTATCAGTACCTTCCAAGATCAAAAGTTCAGAGAGAATTTGACTACCATATAGCACATTTCCTTTCTCTGTATCACTGTGTATACACATCTCTGTATCACATCTGTATTTATCATAGCAATATATTATGATGTGAATAAATACATATTTGTCCACTTCTAATTGACAGCTATTTTAGAGAGGAAATAATTATATTTGTATTCAGAATCATTGAATTTCTTCATGAAGAGATAGATATTCTTGACCATTTATCTATAAAATCAAGCAGTACAAAAACATCTTTGCATCCTGTTATCAAATATGATATGGGGAAAGATCATTAAAATAAGATGCTGTTTTTACAGCACTGTAAACACTTCTTATTTTATCCAAGTTATAAAATTATGTTAATACAGAATGATTTCTACAAAATATTTTACTTTTAAAGCAATGTAATTGGCATTGAAAGAAGTTTGAACAAACTGATTCAAAAATTGTTTGAAAGGCGTATGATACCCCCTTTACATTAATAGGTGTTTACAAGAAGGAAGAAGCCCATTTGCTACTGAAAATTTTTCAGATCAAAGGATCTAACGACATTTTCCTAAACAAGTTTGAAAATGACAACTGGGCGCTAGATGGTTATGTAAGTAACTAGACTGCTATAGATAAACCTTGCTGAGCATAATATTAAGTTTTTTTATTATTATTATTTTCTATATAACTCTATGTTTTATATAATAAATATTACATACATCACTCTAGATATCAATGTAGAAATATTTTTTCCAAAGTATGTATATAATCTTCTATCTTCCACAACCCCATTATAATTTTTAGTTTATTAAATTAAGAGTGGAGTGAATCATTACATCTTGCTATGATTTTGCCTTGTTTTGTTGCACAAGTGGGAATATTGCCTTATTGTGAAAAAGTTTACTGTTGTAAAAGTCTAAGTTCAAAAGAATTCTCAGTTTAAGAATGGACGTGTAACAGAAAATGCTTCACAGAAAGTGAGGATGAGCCATATTGTATTTGCTATTGCAACTGTTTTCCTTTATTGAGATACAATATAGTTCTGACACGTTCAATTTCAGGTAAGCTATTTACACAATACTGTTTCAGTATAAAGGAAGGGTAGAGATGTAGTATTTTAACAGACTATTTAACCTAGCTTCAAATTTGCACCCACAGGCTTTTTTTCGTTTGTTTGTTTTTGTTGGCTTGCCATTTAGTAAATGTTGATTCCAAGATTTATTTTTTAATCATTTTAAACATTTAATCTTGAAGAAAAAGAGTTATTTTCATCTTTGCACTTCTTTGTGCCTTGTGATGGTGTCTATATAAAATATTTTAAAAATGGACAGAAAATTCAGTGAACTTAACTGTCTACTTAATCAATTGTGTAAATATAAATTACAGAATTTTAAAAACCAATATTTACATCAGATATTTTAAAGTAATTCCGTGGTTTTTTTTATACACATTAATAGTGATACAAACTTAAAATTATAAATGTTCTATAAACAAATTCATTAATATTTTAAGGGGAAAAAACATGTAACAAATCTGTATATCTAAATCAGAAAAAAAAAAAAAAAAAAAAAAAAAAAGTGGATAAATATCCTTATTTATTTCCAAAATTATTTTCTTTTCTTTTCCCTACTTCTATGTATTTTAGGTGTCATCAGGGCTTGAAAGAGGTGTTTTTACTTATCAAGGTGACATACATGGAAAAGACTTTGGAAAATTTATGCTCCAAAGACAAGGTAAATGCATTCATAGTTTCATTGTATATATATTTTCAAGTCTTGCAAGAGTGAATTCAACAAATGACTGTCAGCTTTCTAGCTGAAGTAAGCATGTTTATTTCATGACATTGCTATTCTAAAATATATAATAAAGTATGCATATTTTGAATTTACAGTTCAAATACTAATTCTGCCTAATATGTTGTCACTTTATCTTCTGTAGCAGATGTAGCTAAGTAATATGATTCATGATTACAAGATGTTCCTAAAGAGAGCCCAATTGCAATTGTTGCCTTGTCAGTGAAGGGTTTTTTGAACATAACAGAAGTGTCACACAATGCAAAGCTTTTTTCTGTTCAAATACATAAAAGGCAAGCAGAATTATAAAGGAAATTGAAAAGACAGAATCATTGATTTTAACAGTTTAATTAGGAGACAGCTTATTTCAGAATATCTATTTAGATAGATTTCTACTTCACTGTCAAAAATGTGAAATTAATGACTGGGATAAATATTGTACCCATGGATACAGGTACTCCAGGAACTGGTGAAAAACTAGTTATTATTATTGTATTTTTTTATTTTTTTATTCCATGAAAACTAGTATAACATTTACTAATAAATATTTATTCATAAAATATTTTTGAGAAATACCAGCCATGGACATCTGCATTTTCTGATGCTTGAACAGGATATAAGACAGTATTTATGCAGCAAAGTATGGGGCTAGCAGGAATAGGCAGCCTAGCCAACACATCTACACCGGCATGAATCGGCATTTTAAAATTGTCGCAGTTTCATTAGCATCATTGGTGCAGTACCCACTGGCCTTCAAAGTTCTACCAAAAGTCCCTGCTATTTCTTCACTCTATTAATTGGTGTAAAATCACTTACCCTAAGGATATGCTCATCTTGACCACTTTCAAAGTGCCATGTATGTTTAATCACAAGGAGAGAAGATCTTACTCTTCAAATTCTCAGCCTAAGAACTGCCAGTTATTGAAGCTGAATACTATTTCAGTCTTCACAATAAACTATTACGAGGCACAGAATGTCTATCTGACTGTACTTTTCTACAATCCATGTCATTATATCTAAACTGATTTTTCTTTCTGATTTTAACAATCACACTATGAAAGTAGAGCACAAAGGTTCATCCAAGCATATATCTTGCTGAAAAGCCTATGATATTTCTAAACAGTAGGGCTATGGTTTGCTGGGTTTCCTTCTTGTTTTCACTTTTTCTTGAGCCAGGCCAGAATAAGGGTCCCCATTTCTCCAGTTAGAATCATAGAATTTTTAGAGCTGGAAGGGACCTTTAATGATCATCTAATTCAACTCCCCTGCACCGAAGAGGGACATGCACAGCTAGATCAGGTAGCCCAAGGGCTGATCCAGCCTTGCCTTGGAAGTCACTAGGGACAGAGCATCCACCACATCAATGGGGAGCCTGTTCCAAGTGCCTCATCACCCTTGCTGTAAAGTACTTTTTCCTTATATCTAATCTAAATCTCCCCTCTTTAAGCTTGAAACTATTTCTGCTTGTTCTAATATCACCAACCCTGCTAAAGTAAACTGTCCCCTTCTTTCCTGTAGCTCTCTTTTAGATATTGAAAGGTCACTGTCAAGGCACCTCACAGCCTTCTTCTTTTCTCCAGGCTGAACAGCCCCAGCTCTCTCAGCCAGTCCCTGTAGAAGAGGTATTCCATCACTTGGATCATTTTTCTTGGCTCTCCTTTAGACATGCTCCAACAGGTGTTTATCTCTCTTGTACCAAGGACTCCACATTTGGAGTTTGTATGCAAATTCCTCAGCCATCGTCCCAAGTCCCTGTTGATAGCCCTGCTGGATCCACGTATTAGCTGCTTCATCTCCTCCCTGTATGGAAAAGCAGTAAGGGTTTATTGTCTGTCCAGCCTGGCTGTACTGGGCTAGGTAGTTTCCTGGTGTCATCCCAGCCCCAGGAAGACAACAGACATCTCTAAGAAGAGGATCTGGTCAGCAGATTGGATGTGCAGTTCCCTGCAGGGAAAAATCATGTACAACTAAGTCCCATCTTTTCTTCTTCAATGATGTAGTTACCTAAAAAAAGTTTGGATCCATTTCCTTCAGCAGTGAAATCAGTAACAAGCAGGGAAAAAGGAAGAAGAAGCAGAATGACGATTCAACAGTCACAGTATTTTCTGATTGCTGTATCCAGTAATAGCGGTAAAATATCAGCCTTGAGAGCTGTAATATGAGAGCTCAGTCTGTGTATTCCAAAAGGCTAGTAAGGAACTGAAGTGTTATTTTTACACATGTACTCTTAGGCTAAGGACTTCTTTACTTCAGTTTTGATGTCTCAGAAGTGAGGTTTTTAAAAATGCAGATACTATCTTTTAAATATTGATATACTTGGATTTCTTTGTGTGATGATTTACTAGACACTGAATGTCTATACGTTGCTTATTCTCCATTGAAGAACTTATAGTTAAGAGGACACAGTAAATTTCAGACCAACATTGGTAGTAACATATGTTCACATACTATCAAAGTCAATAATAACTTTTTTTTTAAGTGTTATGTTCATGAATATTCTGCTGAGGTAATGATCTCATATGTCCTCAAGCTGAAGACTTAACATATTTCAAATTACTTGCTGCCTTTACACTAAACCAGAACTGTGCATAAACTCCGTATGCACTGGTGCATATAAAATGTAATATAAAATTTGTCACCTGCAAGCATACTTCAAAGAGCAGCATTTGCTGAGAAGTTCTTGGTTAAGTGTGAAAGACCAAACTCTTTGAAGAATTCCCTATCACACAATTCTAGAGAAAGACCAGGCTCAGCAGGTATGCTCATTCTTGGAATATCATGAAAACTGAAAAAAATGTAGTTTCTAAGTACTGTTTATTCTCTTTCAGAGTCAGTTCTGTTTGTTTCTAGCTTAGAGAATAGTTTAATGAGAAAACAGATCTCTGTTATCCATCTACCAAAAAAAAAATCAGAACTTTAAATGATTTAACCTGTTTTGTCACTACTGTGAACTTTTTTTTTTGCTCTCTTATTTTTTAATATCTTGTTCTGGAAGGTCTGCAAGTCCACTGCTAATTTCTCTTTCTTTAATTGCTGAGTGCCTATGCCTTATCTCTAGAGTTCTAGATTTGTATTCTAAAATCTTGGCTATTTCCATTCCAATCTGAAATGTCATAGAATCATCATATCATCTAGGTAGGAAAAGACTTTCAGCATCATCAAGTCCAATCATGAACCTGAACTACAGATTCCCAACACTAAAACATGTGTCTTAGTGTCACATCTATACATTTTTTAGGTATCTCCAGAGATGGGGACTTCACCACTGCCCTGGGGAGCCTGTTCTAATGTTTGTTCATCATCCCCATAATACGTTCTTTCTGATATGTAATCTAAACCTTTCCTGGAACAACTTGAGATTGTTTTTTGTTTGTTGTCTTGTCACTTGTCATTTGAGAAAAGTGACCAATACCCTTCTTGCTGAAACCTCCTTTCAGGTAGTTGTAGAGAGAAATGAGGTCTCCACTCAGCCTTTTCTCCAGACTAAACAGTCTCAGTTCCCTCAGCTACTCCTTCATACGTTTTATTTTCTGTCCCTTCACCAGCTTTGTTGCTCTTCTCTGTACATGCTTGAGCAACTCATTATCCTTCTTGTGGTGATGGACCTAAAACTGAGCTCATTACTTTAGGTGCAGCCCCACCAGTAGTGAATATAGAGAGGGACAATCCCTTGCTTGGTCCAGCTGGCCATGATATTTCTCATTTCTCTTTCCTTGGTCATGTGGGCACATTGCTAGCTTATGTTCAGCTGGCTATCAACCAACACCTCCAGGTTCTTTTCTCCCATGCAGCTTTCCAGACACTCCAAGCATATAACGCTGCATAAAGTTGTTATGACCCGAGTGCAGGAGTTCCTGTCCACAGTAAGAGATGCCATGATACAGTAAATGCCTTTGCATTCTCTGCATGTGAATTTTATACCAGTGCAAAAGCTGCTGCTGGATGCCCTAAACCTTATATCTCACCTCTTGAAGGAAACTGTGATACAGCCAGGATACATACAGTATCAAGCACTGCTGAACCTGGGAGAACCAATGTGACTTGTTGCAGTTATCTCAGTTCTCTTATGCTTTTCCATATTTTATGTAGTCACTCACATCAAGTTGTATCTAAGCTAATATTAAGGATACAGCCATAGAATATTTTTTTTTGCAGCGTTCATCATTTGTTGCCATCATTTGTTGTAGAAGTTGTAAGGCTTAATTTTATACAGTTTCTGATAGATGTAGTTTATGACTATGAAATTATATTGAAACAAGTATCAGATTCTGAATGCTCTTTTCAAATCATTTTTATAATTTTTAATTATATGTTGTTCAATGGTATTAACAAAATATATACATAATATTGCATGTCATATACTTAATATTTTGTAACAGAATGTCAGCATTTTCTTTCTTTTTGTATAAAAAGAATTCTGGGATAGAAAAACTAAGAATTTTATTTCTGCCCTTTCTTTTTTTTTTTTTTTTTTTTGCTTCTTTTCAGGTCCTTTGAGTGCAGACACAGACCTTTCAAATCATTACTATGGTACAAACAGCAGTTCTGTTGCAGCTGCCATCCTGGTACCTTTCTTTGCTCTAATATTATCAGGGTTTGCATTTTACCTCTACAAACACAGGTAATGTAAATGTTGTTTATTTTGGATCTGAATATACTGTTTGTCTTAATTTTGATAACCATAAGTAACTAGAGAATGCAATACTAAAGCTTTAAAGAATATCTGTTCTAGAAAGGCAAACATCACTGAGCATTCCACCAAAAGGGTTCAGTGCAGAGAAGTTTTTAAAGGTGAATTAGAAAAATGAGTCACTGTATTGTGAAGCAAAAAACTATAAATTGTTTTGTTTGAATGCAAGCTTGAAATCTCAGATCGCATTTTATGCTTTCATTTTAATCTTCCATTAAATTAAATATATGCTAGTTTTTTTCCAAAAAGTAATGAGACTACTAAGAGTTCATGCTGAATAAGTTAGTAGATACTACTAATATTGGCATGACTTTAGATTGTATAAAACTTCTATATATCAGTAGGAAATAGAATAAATCTAGTCATTTTGTCTCAAATTTGGTTTAAAAGCAGATGTATGTAACAGATACATATGTTGACTAGGGCTTTCTGGGACAATTTTTGTGTTTTTTTTTTTTTTTTTTTGGTATTGAGTTACAATATTCTCTGACTGCCTTGCATTATTTGCAGTCTGCAAAATACTGTTTAACAGAAATACTGATTTAAACAACACATTCATAAACCTCTATTTATTATGATATCAGGAGTATTCTGTAATGTTAAGAAATCATAGGGACAAAGTGAAGTCCACTTAAAAAAAAAAATTTGCAAGGAGACATGAACTTGTTAACTCCAGTAAAAGTGATACATATCCAGAAATGAAATAGTATTTGGTGAAAAAAACAGAACAAAACAAAGCAACTGATCAAGAAAACTAAGAATTGTGTCTCAGAACAAAGTTACTGAAAGATATCTTTTTGATTCCTGCATTCTCAACTATCTCTTTCTCTGAAAAGGGAGAAGCTTATACAGAAACACAAAAGAACAGGCATTCATTTAGATAGGGTGAAGAAATGGAACATAAAGGGAAGATTGCTGACACTTTGCTCTTAGAAAGGGGCGGAAATCTCTAAGTGAAATGTAATAAGACTGTACTGTGACGTATAGGTATATTTTGCAGTTGTTCTATGAAGTGTTTTACATTGGATGGAAGTAGCAGATGTTTCCACTTCTATTTCCTAGAAATAGACATATATATTAAATAGATATATATATTTTTGTCTTTAGAAGAATAGATTCCATTACACCACAATTTTTAGAGAGGTTATTAGAAAGTATCTTCAAGAAATTAACAAGTTCATTACTCATATAAAGCAATTCGAGGTCACCTTTATCGTCTTTGAAAGAAAGAATGTTGCAAAGGAAAGAATAGAATCTGTGACTTTTTAAAATGAAATTTGCAAAATGATGCAGTAGCAATTATGCCCCTAGAATCTATCTATATCAATGAATTTGAAAGCATTCTTACAGATAGGTGTTACATATATTTCTGTTGTGCCTATGTCAGAGTAATAACAACTAATTAGAATCAGAGGTGTTAGTGCTTTTTTACATCATTTCAGTACCTTTTATCTGTCAGACAGGGAGTGCTTCAGAAGAGAAGACAGCATCTCTGTCTCTCTAAACAAAATGAAAATATTAGGAATTATTACACTTAGGAAAGCTCCTATGTTAAGATTTCTAAACATGTTCTGTTACTACTAAAATTAAAATGTTGGGAGAAAAAAAAAAAAAAAAATTACAAGAACTATTTGTAAGTTAGCAATTTCCATTGCCAAAATATTTCCAGTGAGAATTTTCCCTATCTGCTACCAAAACAGAATTGTAGAAAAGTTTGATTTTCAGAACCCTCTTGAGAAGTTTTATCTTGAGATTCTTTGCTAAAGTGTTTAACATTAATTAAGCACTATTTTTTGTTCTCCTTCACTGATTTTCTTGCCCTATTTCAGTTATTGAAATTATAAAATTCTATACTGAACCCTCTTTTATATTCATCTAATTCTGGACACTGAGAAATATAGTCTTGAAGTAGCAAAGTACAGTATTTTATTAAATTTACTGTATCATTTTACTCAATATATTGGGAAGTCTGAATAATTCTACTTCATTTTTCATTTAATTATTGGTTTAATATATTCTAACAGAACTTTGCATAAAAATATGAACATCCTTGAAGTTCGGATATGTTCTACATAGTGGTAATATCCAGAATAAAAGAGTGGTTCCTGAAAGATAATTATTTGAGTCCTTTGATCTACAGGTATCAAAATTACTGTAAATATTAACTAGAATTTGGCCAATCAGATTACAGATGCTTGGACATACACATTCTTTGCTGAGGTGTCTAGTACTGTTTATTGCTGGATGTATGTGTGGAGGTAAGCATGTATACTGTGGCAGACAACTGGAATAACCAAAATTAGTGACCCTTATCTGAAGGGTACTACTACTAACAGCGTGAAGTCTTCTGGACATTTACTGTCTATTATTGCTTCACTGAAACTATGCTTGATGACTTTGCACTGATTTACATTTAATAGTATCAAGGAGACCTGTTGCAGCAATTTCACTGGTGCAGTAGTAACTTCCTATTCTGGAATGATAATAATTGCTGATAACAGCAAATTACTTAGCTGTTTCCACTGCTGAAACACCTAAATCAGTAAAGACTGTGAGTGTTTATCTAATCTAAAATCCAAGATACAATTGCAAGAATGAATTAGGAGCTGCTTGCTTTTATTTTTCTCCATACATCTCACCATCTATTCTATTCAAGTCTTTTAAATTGACAATTTGTATTGATTTATATCAGTACATTTATACAGATGGTCCAGTTGTCTTCCTGGATATACGGTAAAAATCAGCATGGGTAAAATCTTAAATGTCTGTGAAAGACAATTACAGTTAGCTTGATTGTGAGAAAATTAAATTTATCAACTAAAGATGCTATTGCAGTTTTACCAGTAAAATCCATTTAATGTGCCATTATGTGTATTTTGAAATTGCTAAGGTGATAATTTAGTAAAATTGGAATTTTGAATTGGAAGCAAGAATGAAAAGATTTTTTTATTGTCAGAGTATAGCAATATAAAAATGAAAATGTCATCAGAAACCATCATAATTGTTGCTACTGAAAAAAAATAAATATTCTAAATGTTACCAGTTCCCAAAGTACTTTGTTCTCTTGCTGCACATTACTTTCTTTCTGTCTGCCAATTTTGGCACTAACCGGCTATGAAGTTGTCATTTTTTTGTCAGATTTTTACAGGGAAAATGCATACCTGTATTATGCCTATGTTGTTTCTGTGCTTTTGTTGGATTGGTTTGCCTATTAAGGATTTGTATTCTTCATGTTCTAAGAATAACTTCCTCGCAGATTTAGCTTACTTTTTAAGTCCTGGTAACAACCTTTATAGATCTTTCTTTATGTTAGACAGAGCGGTGCAGCTTGTATTGATAGGATGAAAACAGTAAAGATAAAACCTGCAGTAATAGTAGAATTTTTATTTTTATTTACTAATGGTCATTTTTTGCCTTTTATTCCAGAACAAGACCAAAAGTACAGTACAATGGGTATGCTGGACATGAAAACAGCAATGGACAAGCTTCATTTGAAAATCCTATGTATGACACAAACTTAAAACCCACAGAGGCAAAGGCTGTGAGGTTTGATACGACTCTGAACACAGTTTGTACAGTGGTATAGCCTTCAGTGCCCAATATGACTGATTCATAGCCATACCTCTGATGGACAAGCAGTAATTCCTTTGGTGCCATATACCAGTTTCCCTTCTTCTCTTGGCTTTGCTGCTGTAATCTTTAACATCTTCTGTGAGCCTACATGCAGCTAAATTTTCTGGTAAAAATGTGTCAGTCTTCTGGGGATCAGACAAGGAATATTTTTTCACCTTAAGTTGGATTAAAATGCCTGGCTGCGTCTGCTTCAACTCAAGGCACACTTTAAGGAAGACTGCCGAGTCACATCAATTAGTCATATTTAATGCCTCAGACTTTCATATCTGTATGTGGCTGGATGCCTTTCAATGCATTCTTCTGGGCACCTGGATAAATCCTTTGAGTACTGTGACAAATGATAGCACCACAGATTTTCCCCCAAAACAGGAATATTCTGAAGAAATAAAGCTCTCTTGAAGGAGAACACAACCTTCCTTGAGGTTGCATACACCTGCAAATGCTTTACCATTGAAATCTTGCTAAAAGAAACTTACAGTGTATCTCATACATAGGGCAGTTTGCCAATTTCCCAATCAGCCGTTATATTGCAAAATGTTAATGCACAATTTTTTTGCACTAGAGCGTTATGGATGACTGATAAAGATACTGGTACAAATATACAGGGTTTCTACTGTTCATTGTATATAGACATTCACTCACTTTTTGCCAAGCAAAACGTTCCACAATAAATTTTCTTGAAATACTAAATGATTAGCCCCATGCTTAGCACCAGTTAAAATCTTGTGCAAAAGAGGACAATGTATCTTTTGTCAAAGTTTGACTAAATTTATTTCTAACCATGATTACAAATCAATGGACATTTTCAGCCAGAACAAGAGCCCATTTCTAAGAAATTTTCATTGGCAGTATGATTGTTTTCTTCTGAAATCTGTCATCAATCACCAATTGTCAGTGTTATACTATTTAACAGCAGGGGGGTTAGCAGCTATTGCTGCTTACCATGTAAAAATGTGAATAGTAATTTATTTTAGATAGCTCATAAAGCCTGTGAGCCAGTGCTCATAATACAGTCTTCCCTTTTGCATTTTTTTTCATTCTTTTCCTGTAATGTGACATTATTTTCTCTGTTACATGGAACTAAAACACATTATAGTAGCGTATGTATACCCAGTACAAATTGTCTATATCAAGCTGTCATTCAGTTTCTACTCCGAGCAAGGAGAAATATTTAGCCATCTCTTTGCTTTCTAAATGTTTTTTGGTTTGTTTGTTTGTTTGTTTTCCTTATTTCTAAACACACTGCTTATTGCTCTTGTTCTCAGTTTGACAAAGAAAGTTTAACATTTCTAAATACAGTGGTTGAGTAAATCATTAACATTTTCTTAGAAATTTTACTGAATGTAAACAAACAAAAAAAAGATGCCAATGAGAAAATTAATGAAGTATCAAAATTAGGAAGTTAAAGAAGACAATGAACTAAAATTTGATTTTATTCCTACACACTGAGCTCCAAAAAAAGGAAGTTGCATTGCTTTTCTATTAAATTCAAATTTGAGTTTCTTTTTCTTAAATTTTCTAAATTTCAAAGTGTCTTAATGTCCAGTTGCTCTGTAAAACTGGAGAAGAATATTTCTGAACTCTGTATGTGTGTGGGTCTGGCTCTTACACAAAACAAAAAAAAAAAGTGTAAGTCTAATAACTGATTTTCAGGTAATGTGCAGAACAGAAACATTCAAAGATAACCAACCCTTGGTCAGTTTAATGACTCTACATCTGCTAGATGAAAAATACCAGCAATATAACACAGTATTGTAGGGCCTCCAGCTATTATATTCTTCTTATGAGCAAGAAACTCTGAAGTAAATTTAATAAATAATTCTTTTCACTCAGTTTCTTGTTCATTTTTTAATAGTTTTTGGCTTTCTTTTTTGTTTGTTTCTGAAGTAAGTTTCATTTATCTGTCATATTTCAGAGTCCTTCACCTTTCTTGAGAAAAAACAAAGTCATCATCTCAAAGTTGTTGTTGTGATCTCACCCTATGTACAGGAAGCTACTCTGCAAATGAATATCTTCCTTAGAAACAGTGAGCCAGGGAGGGAAGCTGCTGTGTGATTAAAGTTTTTGGCAGGTGTTCAAAATCACTGCTACTGCTTTGGAAATCTTTCTGCAGTGGTGATGGCAGAAAGGAAAAGAAGAAGAAGAAAAAAAAAGGAATATTGAAAAGAAGTGCAAAATTTTACCAAAGTAGTTACTATTGATATTTTCTGTAAGTGCATTCTTAACTGACCTATGTCATTATGACTGCATTGAAGGAAAGTTTGCAGAAAAATAGTTGATATTTCTTTGGTCTTTCTTTTTTCTTTTTTCTTTT